GCTCCTCCTCCCATGCTGAATGGAAAGATGTTTCCGAAGGTGTTCTTCATTCTTTCTGAGAACGATGATGAGGTTGTTTGTTTTCCAGTTCCGCTTGCCATCATAGTGTTATCTGTCGGAGATCTTCTAGTTGCCGTTACTTCAGTTGAGATGTCGGACAGTTCCGACATCTCCTCTCGATCCAACGTCCCGGTGGAAGTGGCAAAATCATGGCCTTGTTCTACCGGAGTAGATTCACTCGCCAGCCTTCTGCCTCTCCCTTCCAGTCCATTTACTCCCTGGTTGTCGTTCATGGTATGGTCCGTATTGACCTCCACTTCCAACAGTTCTCTTCGCTCTTCTGAGGTCTTTTGACTTCTCGTTTCAACCATTCTGCCTGAAACCGTCCCCTTTTTATCGGACCGGGTTCGCTTGATCCAATCCACAAAAGGATCGGTCATCGTTTTTCTTTGCTTTTCAGGTATGAATTTCCTAGAGCTATTACCTCGTTTTGGTATCCTTGACTTGTCTAAACTCATTCTTTATTTGTCACTTTCCTATGCCTACTCTTGACTCAATTGTTAGAGACCTTATAGTTTCATTAACAATAATAATGACACAACACAATAAATTTCACCAGATTCTATTAAATAGTGACCACGAATCCCTGTATGTTGTCAGAGTACAGTTTGTATAAAATTTATTCACACTAGCCGATTATCGGTCCAAAGATCTGGAAACTAGCACAATATGATGTTATCAGTCAATTTAAAAGATAGTGTACTCACTACCCAATCAAGCACAGTTTAGGTTGATTTAAAATCAAAAGACAAAAAAAATATATATTGACACAATATGAATGTATATATAAAAAAAACGTATGTGTCTTGTACTCTTAGTCAGTCGCAGTACAATAGTCGAACCTGTCTTTTAAAGAAAAAGCTTTCCCTGCTTGGTGCTGCACCAAACAGACAAAACTTTGAAGGCAGCAATTTTCTCAAGTGGGCGTCTATTGCACCCACCGAGTACTGTGTTACCTATCTGCCTTCGGACTGCCCGAGCTAGACCTACTAAAGTCCTCAGGGCAGTCACTTTTCCCAAAAACGTATTATGTCCAATCCACACCAATGAACCACGTTCTCTTTAATTCAGACTTAGTGTCGCGAATATCCGAGTTTGGACTTGTTTTGTATTAGTCTTGTTCTTATCGAAAGGCAAGTTACCAGCGCAGTCACTGATACCTATCCTCTGTATTAATAACCTAATACCTCTCGCTTTTTAGTTTTTCTTTCGTTCACCTAAGTCCTTAATAAAATGATACCCCTCCGGATTGGCACAAATAGGACCCTTCCGGACTGTCAGAATATAGACCCCTCCGGATTGGGACCCCTCCGAGTTAGTTAATAGTAGACCCCTCCGGATTTGGACCCCTCCGAATTAGCGACTATAAGACCCTTCCGGATTCGGACCCCTCCGGTTTTGTGGAAAGTAGACCCCTCCGGATTCGGACCCCTCTGACTTCGGAGCCCTTAGCTCTGTCAAAGTAGCTTTTTGTAGTTTTCTTTATTTCAGCTTATACCCCTCCGGATACGTTCTGCGTTGCTCTTATGCTGTTTGAATTAACTGGGAAGGGTATAGGATCCTTTCCTAGACCCCTCCGGATTGAAGTTAAGGCACTTATTTGACAATTCACACTAACGGTGAAGGGTCTTATCACTTGCCTAATTTCGACTCTATTATGGTTGTCTTGTGCCTTCAGCCCTCCCTTTTTGTCTAGAACTGTCTTAAGTTACTTAGTTCAATCGCTATCAACTTTTGGTAGGGGTATAAGGGTTTTTTAGAAAAATTTATAAAACGTGAAGGGTGTACCCCTCCGGATTTGTGTAATTTGCTAAAAACAATCTGAAAAAATTTTCTCGCTCGCTTTTCCGAAAAATTTCTGATCCTATTAGTAAGCTCAGCTAATTTCTGATCTATTGGTACCAAGATCAACTCGATATGATCAGTAGTTCCAAAGTTATTAACCAAAACGTCTTTTTTCCGAACTCAAAAAATTTTCTCTCTTATAGGTTCCGCCTAACTTTTTCCGCAAATCTGGTCCTTTCGACCTAAAATTTATTGATCCGAGCTCAAAAGGCCTATACTCTTCTAGTTCAATGCAAAAGACCCGATCTAAAACGCTATTGTAGAAAAAATTTGCGAAAAACTATGCTACCTGGACCCCTCCGGATTGATGAATCCACCAAATCAAACACGTTATGTTCGATTTCTCTGCAACCCGGAAGGCTTTCGGGTAGCGGATTTTAAGACTTGTAGATTCACTAGTGGACGTTGTCCGAACAACTATTTTTACTGTCCTACCTCAAAAATTTCAAAAAATTTTCTAAATTTTTAGTGTTTCTTACTATCAAAAATTGGGAAAATTTGGTTTTTGGTACCAAACTAGTTCCAACCACTTCCGAACTAAAGTTAACCGGTTCTACTTGTTACAGTAGTGCAGTTACGATGTAACACACTAACTTAGCGCTTTTTTCCGTTTCAAAAAATATCGATATCTCAAAAATCGCGACTTGTGGGGGGATCAAAATATCGCTATTTTGACCCTAAAAACCGGTCTGTTTTCGTTGTTTTTCACTGAAAAATGATATAAGACTATTAATATAGGCTATATAAGTAATAATATTAGTAATACTATACCCCTCCGGGTTTGTTTAATCTCCGAATTAAGGTGCTTAACTCGGATATTCGCAGTTCGGTGAAGGGTCACTACAGTGCAGCACTGTCGAGCCCCCCACAGATTACTATCTTACTTTTTGTACCAAAAGGGATACAAAACTTGTTAACGATACCCAACAGTCGATTGTAGTTGTCGTTGAGCCTCTTCCTGTTGTTCCCTGTACTGCTTGCCGGATCGGTCTTCACCCCGGACCCTTCCGAATTGAGCGCAAATCAGCTGACCCTTCCGGATTGGGCGCAATTTATCATTAACGTGCTTAAATGCTCAAATAACCCTACAGTACAAGCCCCACAAACGGGCTACAAAAATGATCTTAACGATCCTGACTGATATAAATGCCTGTAACAACAATATATCTATCAACAACAAACGGGGGGGTTGAATCACATCTTGTCTGGGGGGATGATTTCTACTGATTTTTTACTTTTTTACTGTTTTTGGTTTTTTCGGTTATTTTTTATGTTTTTTGTTTTTCTTGGATACTATACTATTTTTTGTTTGGTTTTGCTTATATCTTTAAGTGTTTTTGGTCACAAACCACTCAGGGGATTAGGGGTTCGCGATTCCCCCCACCCTTCCTGGTTCGTGAATTTTCGGTCTTAACTAGGTTAAAAAACTATTCACGGCAATCCGGAAGGCTTCCGCGTTCCGAACTACCCTTCCGCCCCGGCGGTTTAGGCCTAATAAGGGCGTTAATGTGAGCATCCGCTCGGCGCGGAATGCTCGTTAACGGTTCTGCCGGTCATGATGTTAAAAAAGAATAACACCCAGGAGCGCCATAAAAACATACATGTAACATTCGCCCGGAAGATACATATCGACGGATAACAAAACTAAGTCTTAAGACGACTGGCTAGCGTCTAAACAGAGCTTTGCATGTTTTTCACCGTCTCTACCAAGCCAGTACTTTTCGGTGGTCTTTCTTACATCAGGCTGACAAAAACGTTACTGTTCTCCGGCTTCGACCAGAACGCTCAAATTAACTAGATTGCATGCAAAAATAGTGAGCTCATGGCTGGGTCTCAGTATCCCCAGACCACGAGGTCACTCCTAAAAACAGGGCTACTACTTATTATATTACTATTGTTTTTGTTCAGTAGATAAAAATCATCATCTCCATCGAAGATGGATCAACCCTTTCCCCCCTACTTCTAGCTCCTCATTCTTGTCAAAACGAATTAAGATCTTAATTAAATTCAAGTCAGGACATGACGGATGCTAAAATTCAATATAAGTTCATAAAAGTCCACGTCCCGAGACCCTTCCGGATTCTTGAATCCGGTGAATCAAGCTTCTTAATATCCAGTTCACAATAACTCGGAAGGCTGGGTTTTACCCTTCACCGTTGCTCGCAACGGCCTTGCAACTATTGTAACAGCACAATAGTTGCAACTCGGAACGTCCTCTGCTGTTCGGTAGTTCGTTGTTGTTTTTTTTTAGTCTCGATTTCGTACTGTTCGTAATCGCAGATAAAAGTTGTTCTGTTTCTTTCTGCTATTTTAGCTAAAATGGCCGTCTCTGACGTTTCTCAGAAATATGACGTCATAATTCGAATTTTTAAAAATTAGAATTCCAGAATCTTCTAGCCTTCACCGTTTGGCTAATCGTTCAAATAACGTCCTTATCCGTTCTAAATCGCCAACTCGGAAGGCTTGCTGCTAAAATACCGAATTCTGCAGAGACTGCATTTTGGCCATTCTGGTCGAATGTCACACCCATGTAACGGATCAATTGAGGAATCCCCCCACCCGTAACGACCAGTTGAGCTATCTCTCCCCCCCCCAGCAAAAACGGTAAAACGCTGCAAAAGACGTCAGCAAACGCAAGTTGATGGTTTATGTGTTCCTAGCACGCAATCAATTGAATGAGTGAAGTTTATTTTGTATGATTATCGAGAAAAGTTATGAAAAAGAAAAATCGAAATTTATTTTTATTGGCAAATTTTTGTTTGGGCGACCATTACCTCATCGAGGAAAGCGAGTTAGCAGGGTTGGTGCTCTAGCCTTGTATCTGAATAGCAAAAACTGTTCTCCGCAGCATCTTAATATTGTATTAATAGCTTCTTTCTTTTAATATTCGCTTTATATGCTTCAGTTTTATTGATTCTTTTTTCACTCTGAATGTAATTTTTGAGCCTTGATATTGTAAAGTTTGGCGTTCCACATTCGTTGAATCATTAAAACTACTTTCAAGCGGTTATAAACATGTCGCAAGTACCTATTGAGCTATCTCTTCCACGCAAAAGTGTATCATTTAATGTTTTTGAAGTTCTCATCAATTTTAGATAGTTTTGAAAATGTTCAATCTAAGCAGACATCCAGCTGGATACAGTAAAAACTTATATTTCGACTTAACTAGATCTCTTTTGAATGCATCAGTCACAGAAGTATGCCACTTGATCAAATCCAGGTGTAGCGGACATAGTACTTTTATTGTTCTGCTATGTGACCAAAAGGGTAGATTGGAGCAGAATACTACAATTTTCAGTCAAGAAGTTTCATTTAAAATTTTGTCCTGCATGAGCGATGCATATGAGGATTTGATAGATAATCTAACCAAAGGCGATGGCTGTAGGATTTTAATCACCAATAGTTATTTCCTTAGCAATTTCCTCGTAAATTACAATACAATGGACTTGTTTCTGGTTATTGATGACTGGGCCGTTACTTCAAATACACGATACTTTGAACAAGGTGAGCCACTTGATTTTTTTTGATAACCTGAATTTGTCTCATTTCTTACAACTTTCAGATACTACTCTTCGTAATACTTATGGCTAATACTTATCGCACTGTTACACAAAGTGCTTTTGCTTCATCAGTAACCTTTTCTCTCAAATCTGTTGTAATCCATTGTACTCCGTTGTCTCCCGAATACTAGTGATATAACTTTTATAGAAAGTGAAAATCAATCAGTGAAGAGCTTTTTAAATAAGAAAAAAGATGTACAGTAAAAAGGAAAATGTAGTCAAAAGGTACAACCTTTGCTTGCTTTCTATTAAGTTTTTGATCAAAAACTTACAAAAGGTTATACCAAGCTAAGGTTAAACCCCCTGTTTTAAGTTTTTGTCCTCTTGCTACAAGCTCAATTATTGAAATTTTCCAGAAGGTCTTATCAATTTCTGTCTGAAACCGTAAGAGTGCCATAAGTCCAAATCAGCTCAAATATTGTTCGAAGAAAAATACTTTCCCAGCAACAATGTCTTTCTTTTGCATCGAAAAGTAATTTCAGTCATAATATTTGCGAAATTATATTTACTTCAGTATCAATGCCACATATTGTAAGCCGGAATAACCCGTTTTTCAGATCTTTTCAGGAACTGCGAAAAAGTAAAACATTGTTTGTTTACTCGAAATTCTCATGGTAGCGTTCTTTACTGCCTTTGAACTCATCGTGTTGTCACTCTATTCCTGGTCTCTTGTCGCGTCAGTAATATCTGGTAAACTTGGAACATCTTGGGCGTCTCCTGTGTTTAGTTTAACACCAATATTTCGTCTTTTTCTTTTTCTTCTGTCCATTTGCTCGTCAACTGGTGTTGGGTTTTTTTCCACGTATTGAACTTTCTCGTGCTCGGTAATTTTCATCAGTACATCAAACGCAGGGTGCTGGGCGTTCACTCTCATCTTGATGAATAGCAGAAATTGTGTGTCGTTGCGCGAACACTCCAGTTTACAATTTTTAATCCATCTTGCTGCTTCATTTTGTGAATATTCACCTCCGGGTTATCACTGCTTCGCTCATCTAACCGACGAAATTTTGAATCTAACGACGACTCCTGTTTTATACGTCGCAAAAGATTTGCCTGATTGTAATTAACTGTCCTGTCTAATGACCCTTGGATATTCTCAAGAACTTTTTCAAAAACCTCAAGATGAGTTAATGCTACCTTAGCCGCAAAGAAAAGCGCCGCTCTTATTTGATGCTTTGATCGTAATTTCGAATCAGTAGGATGCATGAGCAGTATTATAACCTGTGCTTTGACAGTTGATTAGTAATAATAGTTGTTGTTTTCTTAATTCCGCAATTGAGCCGAAAAAAGCTACTTGTTTATTACAACAGTGTAATAATCAAAATCCGATTTAAGAAATCTTCCTATTCTTTATACTTTGGATTCATTATACTTTGGGGATTTTCGAATGCATAATTTCTACTTAATTTGGTATGATACTTTCGAATTTTCTACATGCAAAGTTTGTGTCGTTGCCCGTAGTTTATTACATTTCAAATTATTACGCTAATTTTTTTGTGCATTCTCAAGGTTCTGACTCTTTGCTGCTTTTTCGCTTGTGTTTGCAAAGTTGCAACCTCGCCTTTGCATTAAAACATGTCGACGGTGGCCAGTCAATAAGCAGAATGGTCCAAGAGCAGAAAAAGAGAATAACTCACGCTAGCTAATCGGTAAATTAAGTGTAAGAATTGTCAATATTACCAGAGAAACTTATATTTGATGGATAATTTGAGTAATTTAATCAAGATTTAGAAAAAAGTTAAATAAAAAAACCCAAAGAAATTATTCAATTCAGGCATAATTTATTCATTTTTGTGTCATTTTTGACGATTCTATTAATTGTATAAGCCACCAAAAGTCAATATATTTTTTTCTGCTCTCGGACACTGTTGCAATGCAAAACAAGAGTATAGAATAAAACGAGTATAGATGCATGTAAAATAAGCACAGTTGGCCAAGGGGACTAAGACAAAGTAAGCTAACGCCGATTATATGTGTGAAATAACAGTTGACGTAGGTTGAGTCCCCCACCTGCCCATGTATTAATATACTAAAAACGGGGGTTACATCCTATTTTAACTGTTTTTTGGTTCTAATTCGGTTCAGCCTTGATTAAGGTTGACCACCAAAAAGAGCAATTTGTCTCAAGGACATTACCGACCGGTTCTTGTGGCTAGCTTGCGCCGATTTGTACAAAATACGGACAGTTCAGAATTGAAGTTATATGATGTTATGCTTGACCAAAATTATGATAAAGTATTGAGTTTTCCGAGATTTTTTGCCGATAAATACTCTTTATAATTCAAAGCATTCGACTTCATAGTTTTGCCAAATTACGGAGATTGAGCGGGCATATTTTTGGCGCCCCACAAGGGACATCGAGGTCTTTCTTTTCTCGACAAGGGACCGACCACGACACGAAGTCGGTCGACACAAGGGACATCGAGGTCTTTCTTTTCTCGACAAGGGATCGACCACGACACGAAGTCGGTCGGCACAAGGGACATCAAGATCTTTCTTTTCTCGACAAGGGACCGACCACGACACGACGTCGGTCGACACAAGGGACACAAGTGCCTGTAGCGGATTGCAGAGGGTCTGTAGCGGATTGCAGAGCATCTGTTGCTGATTGCAGAGTGTCTGTAGCGGATTGCAGAGGGTCTGTGGCGGATTGCAGAGCATCTGTTGCGGATTGCAGAGTGTCTGTAGCGGATTGCAGAGTGTCGGTTGCAGATTGCAGAGGGTCTGTGGCGGATTGCAGAGCATCTGTTGCAGATTGCAGAGCATCTGTTGCAGATTGCAGAGTGTCTGTAGCGGATTGCAGAGTGTCGGTTGCAGATTGCAGAGTGTCTGTGGCGGATTGCAGAGCATCTGTTGCGGATTGCAGAGTGTCGGTTGCAGGTTGCAGAGTGTCTGTTGCGGATTGCAGAGGGTCTGTTGCGGATTGCAGAGGGTCTCTTGCGGATTGCAGAGAGCGTCTGTGTCGTGTAAGACCGGTGACCGCCCAATCTTCAAAACTAAGACTCGACAAACTTTTAAAACTCTCCATTCGTGCTTTAAATTTATATACGATGTCATATATGCCAGAAATTTTCCCGCAAGCTAGCCCTCGGTAATTTTTCTCAATACCCAAACTTTTTGGACAGTTCCGTTGAACTGAAATATCTTACAGTCGGTACATAGACAAACTGACTTGACATTTTTTCTCGATACCAAAATTTTTTGGATATATGTGAACGGAATATTAATCAGTGAAATCGGAACATAGACAAGAGGTACTGGACTAGTTTTTGGATTGGTTTATGACTCAAACCTGCTGACCAAAATTTTCTGAAAAATTTTGTGAAAAAAGTAAAAAATTGCCCAAAAAAAATCCTCAAAACGTCTGCAGAGTTCTGCAAAATTGTGCTGTAAGATGACAACAACCCTATGTTAAGTGGTCTGGTAGCGAAATATCAGGCAAATTAAGTTGAGTTTTTTCATCCTCAGGTTTCTTCCGCGTGTGTTGTTGGAACTTAACCAATTTGCCTGATACCCCACCCACCATTGGTGAAATTGAAAGCCAGTGCGCTTCAAATAAAACAAAGCCGTTTCAGCCCGTCCCATTATTGACTTCGTTGCGTGACAGTAAAGATAAGTGGTCAGGTAGGGTGATATTAAGTGAGTTAAGTTGAATTCTTTCATCCTCAGGTTTACTCCGTGTGTGTTGTTGGAGTTCAACCGACCTACTTAATTTTCCAACCCCATTGGTACTTAAGCGTAACGAAGCCGTCGCATAGGTCCCCTAAGTGTATGGTATTCATTCTAGGAGCTAGTTATTTGGATCACGCGCTCCGAAAACTTCCCGCTCCGTCCCAGAAGCGCGTCAAAGATACTTGCTTTACAAAGCCAGGTTTAAGTTTGAACTTTAACGCTAGGGACTCTCAGAAAACAATACAGTACTACCTTCATCATTACTTGTCGCACCGTAACGACCTTGTAATTTGGCACGACGCCATTAATAACTCGATAAGTATGCACCGCAGCAACAATAACCGCTAGCTGAGTAGTGAGCAACTTGTCAATTTGTTATTAAGGTATAGGACAAACATTTGTGCGATCGTATACTGTAGACGGAACGGAACCGAGGATATAGAGGAAAGTTTAGTTTCAACAGGTATTCTCGTTCTCAACGTCGTTAAAGACTTTAACTCTAAGCGTAAGGCTAAGGACCAGGTACTAATTGAGAAGTACAAATAGCTTCACCAGCCTCCTTCCCTTGAGTTAAAGACTCTCCTCCTTCTGAGGCGTTATAGCGCTAATCTTAATATCCTTAAGACACGTAAGAAGCGAAACCGCTTACCCCTCAAAGCCCGGAAAGCTATAAGAAATAGGCTTCAGGTAGAAGCTTTGAGACGTCAAGTTCCCCCGTCTTGTAAGCTAATGTTGATTTACTAATGCAAATTTAATTACGTACCAAAACAGTATCTCATTTTATTGATTGTTTTCTATAAGTGAGCATCCGTAGAATATTGTCAATTTGTGAAAAACATGGACGAAAAATTCCAAAGTAAGATACGCAAGTTATTCGAAACCCGTCTAAATCTAGAAAATGAGCTGCTTAAAGGTCACTCATTATTACTTGAGTACATTGAGAATAATATTCGCACTACAAAAATTGATAATGCTGTTTACAAATGGAAAATTGCGTTGGAAAAAGCTGTCGACGTCAATGAGCAATTAATTAGGTTAGCGGGAAAAACGGAAAATCCTGAAAAAATTATTGCTCAGCAAGAACTTTGGCTTAAGAAAGTAACCGAAATGAACGATAAAGTAATGCACGAAGCTCAGAGTTACAAGATGAGCCTTGAACCTTCGTCATTTCCTGCAGCCGGCATTACAGGGAGCAAGGGATCTTTACAACAAACTAGGTCTGAGACATCCTCACGCTCGCACAAAACAAGTGATTCAGCAGCACGAATATCT